CCTCGCCGCTTCGCGGCTCGGTAAATATCCACCGCTAACCACCTCCACTTCGGTGAATAGTAGTTAAATAGCGCGCGTGCTAGTCCTATCTAATTCCTATTGCGTCAACGTGAACAAAATCTTTATGTACGCACGGCCGTGCTCAATAAAATGACGTGTGCAGTTTCAAAATAGCTGCAAAATTTCCGTCGTGTGAATTCCTTAAGTTAAAGTTTTGGAAAGCAATAATAGTAAATCGAAGACCAACCAAACTTTTCTTTGGCTTTCGACCTTCCCACAAGTAATCAATCCAACAAGCACTATGAAAACGAAACACAACAGGCCCGTTTCCCGAATTTATCGGAACAGGAGCTGGAGAAAACTTTTTAGCTGAAAGACATTCAGCAAGAACTAGGAAGACTATAAATTGGTCTTAGGCGACTTTTAAAGGTAAACGTCTCTGTTGATGACGTTTTTTTTGGGTTACATTTGTTAATTCTACCGAAAACCATTTAATTACAAAATCAACAAAACAATCGGAGACGCCAACATTTTCGGGCAACTTTCATTTCAAAAAACATTACAAAAACGTCATTCAGCTCCCAAATTGTTTTCGTATGTTATAAAAGGATTGTTTCATATTTTTAGCTGTGCGTCTATCGAGTTATGGATGCACTTGGGAAGTTTGGAGAGCATTCAAGAAGCTAGAGTTGCTCTCGGCTGCGCCTCGAGCAACTCTTGCGCTTCTGTCGTGCTCTCCAAACTCCCCGCGTGCATCCATAAGTCGATAGACGCACGCTAAGCATGAAACAATTCTTAAATATCTTATACTTCGATCTTACTCTCATGCGAAAACTAGAATCGTCATTTATGAAATGGAAATGAAATCTTGGGTTCCCAAAATGATAATTTGGTGATTATTGATCTCTCGCTAACAGGGTAACTGTCGTTGTGGTTAAGTTTAATTACTTTGAGGTACCGTGACGTGTGTTTTATTTGTGTTGTTGTTCATTTTATGATTGTATTTATTTCTTCTGTCATATGTCTCAGAACTCCAGAAACCAAAATGTCTAGTGACTTCAAACATGTTCTTTAAACCATGTCAAGTACAGCTGGGTAAGTGATTGACAATCAGTGTGTTCTTCAGAAGGTTTGCTTGAATTGTGCTTCAACAATAAGATTGAAAGGTATACTTTATGGTCCTTTCCTATAAATTTTCTGGCTCTTTCTTTGAACATTTTGACCCACAAAATTTCAAGAAAGCCTCTATGCTTTTGCTGGCCTCCTCTATTCATTATTTTGGGTTTTACTTTAAAGGAGCACTCTGATGAAACTGCCCTATAATTTGAAAACCCGAAAAATTCAGTTATTTATTATAATATGAATTTTTAGCGATTAATAAAGCCTTTTCAATAATAATTTTAGTTGAAAGTCAATTCTAGGGCAAGAAATTACGATTTGAAAACCGTTCTGCCATTAATTTTTGTAATCACGGCCAACTTATCTTTGGTCAGCGGTCACTCCCATTGTGACGTAGATTACTCAACACACTTTTATATTTATACGGAAACCTCGTGAAATTTAGTCAAATTGTCTTAGTCTTAGTGTTATAAAAGCAATATATGCGATCAAAATACTGTTTTTCAAAACTAGCCACGAGCACGGCGCGTCAAATGAGTAATCTAAGTCACCTTCCCTCCCATCGTGACGTAGATTACTCAACACACTTTTATGTTTATACGGAAACCTCGTGAAATTTAGTGAAATAGTCTTAGTCTTAGTGTTATAAAAAGCAATATATACGATCTAAATACTGTTTTTGAAAATTAGCCATGAGCAAGGCACATCAAATGAGTAATCTCCAAACTCGCACCAGTCTTTTTGAGTCTGGCAAGTGATTATGAAAATTAATGGCGGAACGGTTTTCAAATCGTAATTTCTCGCCCTAGAATTTACTTTCAACTAAAATTATTATTGAAAAGGCTTTATTAATCACTAAAAATTCATATTTTAATGAAATAGCTGAATTTTTTGGGTTTTCAAATTATAGGGCGGTTTCATCAGAGTGCTCCTTTAAAACATACTTCAGCTTAAGAAAAACTACCATGGCCTTTAAACTGGTATTCCAACATATATAAATTATGTATCATATAAGGGTATCTAAAGATAGCAATGCTGCGGCTCACTCTGTTGATAGTGACATAGTTTAAGCAGTGATTTCGTCACTTGCACGATGCAAGAAAACAGGTCTAACTGGTTCTCTGGAGTACAAATACCACAAGATATTTGTACTCATTTTGGGTGTTCTTTGTTGCTATGAAGCACAGTTGGATAATAAATGTATACAATATATGTTGCTGAACTGTTCAGAACTGGACCAACAAAATTATTCAACTCCTCTCACTATTTGGTAATCTATTTCCCCCTTTCATTGCAAAAACAAAATCTTGCAGGTGCTTCAATCCTTGTATGCAACTGAGCCTCCTCTTGACAATAACATTAACTTCCCAGTGGATCAAACTGAGATCTCCTTGATTTATTAAGCTGCGAGAAACACATGCATGCTCTTTCTGTCAACCCCTTTCCACATTGGATAAAAAATGAAAACACAGTCAAAACTTAAAAGATAAGGCAATTAAGCAAAATAAAACAAAGGGAAAGTGTTACAAAAAAAATATGCTACTGCTCTGCCACAGGCAATAAAACAAAGCAATGCCTTCCAGAGAAAACTCCTAATAACCTGCCTGGAATCCAGGTAGAACGCCTTAGAGAACTAAAATCAAGAATCCTGAGTTCTGCTACTGCTATAGTCACTTGAGGAGAAGTGCAGAAATTAACACACACTCAGGCTACAGTTTTTGAACCTACTCCACTTCACAAGAATTTGACCCAAGGACCCTGAATGAACACTGACTGGTATTTAACAATTATTCACCGAAGGCAAAGTGAATATTAGTGAATATTCCCTGAGTCGAAGTCAATTTCGCATTTCCCGATCAAGGATCTACACTGTGTGGGTCAGACATGTAAGTGATTTCGTTTCTTTGTTATTTAAATGTATTTCTCATCTATTTAGTACATTGTACGATTCTATCTTAGCTCAAATTAATTGTTATCGTTTTCCCTCGTGCACATGCAGATTAGCAGCCTGTTTCTTAGCACCAAATGTGATTATTTTAACTTGTTTAGAAGTATCATACGCATCGCTGTTGTAGGCGAGTATGGATTTGTAATTCGCTTACGCGTAATCTCATCTTTGTTTGGAATCTTTCATGTGCAGAACATTGTCTAATGTAATATCAGGGTTCTGCCCCCAAATATCAGTGGAGTAGTTTGAATCATTGTCTTTGTTATAAGTTTGTTTAGCTTTATATTAAGTTGCATTTTGCAATCGTTATTTACAGTTTATGAGTATCATTGAATCTACTTTGCTGACACAAAACAAACCTTGTTGGTTCTTTCGCCGTCTCTAAGTTTGGATCTTTGACTCCATAAAATACATCCCTCTCAACTCACGACACGTCTTGTCAAACTCAATAGTTGCTACCATAACACAGTGAATTGGAGCAAAATGAATATAATTATGAACTTAAGGCTCCCCAGACAATCACNGGGGGTCACAGAGGCTACTGACCAGATTGTTAGGTCGACCTCCACGTCATGCATGTTTAACTTTATGTTACAGTTTTGGGATTAGCAGTGAGAGTATAGTGGGCAGGCCAAGATATTGTCATGGTGTTCTCACCACCACCTGAATATTGTAGGTTGTTTGCTCAAAGGAAGGCTTATCAAGGGGGGATCACGGGAACCTCAGGACCCCCCTGGCTACACCCTTGTGATGACACTTCATGTCATCCTCTTGTCACCTTATTAACAATTACAAATCCATTAATGTTTTACAATGATGCAATGTGGAGTTTGGTGCAATTATGAAATTGTTCAATTGTTATGAAGTCTACTCTTAGGTACTCTTAGCTCTTTGGGAAAGCTAAGAGAGATTGTTCTTGTAATTTGAGTGTTGTTATCAAGATGTTAATGCAGCAATACTCTCTTTTGTCATTCTAGTAAAATTTCTTCGCAGATTCCATCAGAGCAGACATATTGTGGACTACTTATAGTGCTAGAGGTTCCTATCGCACTTCAGAGATGCAGTGGCCAGATTATTCTTCTTTCAAAGTTGCCAAAGGGGCTAGTTCACAAAAACTCTCACAGACAGACCCTCCTTTCGCATTGCACTTCAGGATTTGATCCTTGAAAGGCTTTGTTGTATTTTCCATATAGCTCTCCTTCCTCTGCCTGACCTTTTAACTCCTCTTTTGTGTCATTTCTTGTTGTTTGAAGCATCTTCCATTTCAATATCTGTATTTTACACTTCACCTTCTTGATGTCCTACTGTAACTCCTCAAAAGTTATGTCGGCTCTTTCTATTCTGGCAGGGATCATGGTCAACGGACAAAACAGTGCCAAATGACTTGCTTAAATATGATTGGATAACAGCCTTCACAGGCTTGAAGTGGAACCACAATTATGTGAACAAACAGAAACACCCAGAAAAATTTCAAGACGCTTTTCCTTGTATAGTGGTTTAGCTTCAGTTATGATATTGAAGAGTTTATTCTTAGCTAATTTCAGTGAATTTCTGTTGGAATTAGAGATAATGTCAGAAATATAATGAACCCACAAAGTGTCCATGATTTTTGTTTTTCCTTTTCTTTGAGATAATGTGCCTACGTTGAAAAACTTACTGGAAAGTACTACTTTAAAGTTAAAAATTTATTCAATAGATAGTGTTAAAATTCATGTACAAATCCCAGATAAGCATTTTTGTTCAATATATGCAGATCATATTTAGATCAGAAACAAAGGAGTTTATTTTAAGAAATGCATTGTTAAATAAATGGTCAAAATTATAAATTAAAATGAATCAAATATCTGGAATCAGTGTTAATTAAGCTTCAAGAAAAAATGTATCTTGTATAGGAATAGGCCAAATAATTTTCACACCATTTCATTTGAATGAAGAACATTATTTTCCTTGTGTGATACCTTGAGATCAGATCAGCTAAATGATGGCTAAGGTTTTTCAAAGGGGTTTGATGACATCTATGATACATTGTGGTGGACCCTACAAACTTCCACTGCATGAGTCAAGATCCTGGCAGTATGTAATACGTACTTTTAAGTGCTACAATCTTGTTTTAATAATTTCAAATCTCTTTGTTTTGGAACTCAAGGGCAAGCCACTTTTGTCTGACTGATGATCAGAAACGATGGCTTGTGGCAGGAATTACACTCAACAAGGTCCTTGTACCTCAGATACGCCCATTTGTGGAGCAGGAGGTTGAAAAGGAGTACAACACACTTAAGAGCAGTCACACCATTCATATACAGACCAGACGTCATTATCTCAAAGCATGGCCAACTACTTCTAAAGAATTTCTTAAATATGAAAACATCAATGGCAATGATGGCCTTCCTAGGGTGAAGATACAGGGGAAATATGTGTATGACTACAAGTCCTTCAACTACCAAGTTACATCTCATGTTGACTTTGCAAGGCTGTTTGTGCAAAACTTCATGGCTAAGTTCACTGCATTTGATGACCACTGTGATGCCTCAGCTGTATTACAGTTGCTTCTTCGCATTCCATCATTCTCTACAGCTGTGCTAACTGCAGCAGATAAAGTCAGAAAGACAAGGAATGATTGGGCCCACTGTGTTTTCAGCAAGTGTGATCAGCCCAATTTTTCAAGGAGCTTTTCTGACATGGAACAACTGGTGAAGAACTTGGCACTATCAGGTGCTGGGAAAATACTTGGAGACCTTAAAGACTGGGAAACTAAAGGTAATTACAAAATATTTTCAATTTACTGGAACCATACTTTTTGCTATAACTTACTAGGCTAGGTATGAAAGTCAGAGAAGATTACTCAAGGAGAAGGAAAATTTGATGAAAGACCAGCAAGTTTTACACATACATGTGAAATTATCTTCTAATCTGAAAACTAATTTTCCTGTAAATTTCTTCTTACTTGTTTTCTATGAATTTGGTCTATTTTAGTAGGCTACTTGGTACAGAAGAATAGTTTCTTTTTGAATGAGGCACTTCCAGTCTCTCCATGTGCTTGCTGTTCTTTTTATGTTTGTCCTATTGCTGCACTCTTGATAAATGCTCTACACTTTTGAGGAACGACAAGGCCATTCTTTAGTCTTTGAGGACCAGTGATTTCTACAACAGTTATTGAAGTTATTGGAAACCTTTTAAGGAAACAGTTGATAATCATAATAAGCACCTCCCTCAATTAAGTGTCCCTCCTTTTGGGCAAAATTTTAAATAAGCACACTGGTGCTTCTTTAAGATACCAGTTCATATTTGAATATCCATACTATGTACCGGTATATACAATTACGGTTTATCAGTACTAAAAATGTTTGTGCCTCACTGGAAATTGGGCTGATGTGGAATGAGGAGTGGGGCTTTCCTAAGGTTCTTTAAATAGGATTTTAGAACACTCTCCCCATCCCCCTCTCCCAAGGTCTATAAAATACCTCTGTCAGCTTCCACCTAACATGAAGTGTGGTTTGGCACCATAATGGTCAAAGGTGAAATTAAAGAATGATAAATTTAAATGATAGAGATAAATTTGTGAGAGCTTGTCCGTACTGGTCAACTGAAATGCAGTTTATTTTGTGCCCAATTATGCCCACCTATGCCCTATCAGATATGTTTGCATATATTTGAGTTCTCATATATGGATTTTGTCGGTGCAAATATACTATTTCTCTAAATGGTGCGTCAACCAGCTGTTCTGAGAAAAATAAACTCAGTCATCAAAATAATCGTTGTAATGGCCATATTTGTCTCCACAGTACATCTGCAAAAATGGCAGAACTGTCCAAATGAGAAATGCTAAACTTAAGATGTTTACACCTAAAAATTTCCAACTTTTTGTTTTTGAGCTTTTACCTTTACAAGACAATGATCATGTTTACCTTGAATATAAACTGTACTTTTCGTAGACTCAAGCCACAGCAGGGTTAGCTTGACAAGCTCTGCTTGCAATGGAGAATTTTGGGTTAAGAAATATCATGAGAAAATGGTTAAGAAGATTTTAATGATCTAGATAGAATGAAGAATCGTCGGTGTGACTTAGACTTCCACACCATGTTGTGTTGAGATTGAAGATTCTTAGAAGGAGACAGAACATAACAAAGTGTACTTATAAATGGTCGTATTGTGATCTGCCTACAGTTTTGGTGGCAAAAGAGTGGCTGAAAATGTATATTATTACACAGTAGTATTACCATGAAAAATCTGATTGGTCGAGAGCATTCAATCAATATGCAATAACGTGTGAAGTTGACATGAGAAATGCAATATGTGCAGCGGATATTACAGTTATCATGTCGAGTTCAAAGCCAGCCTAGTTTTCAAGGCCCTCGTCCGTGTAGTGTCCTTGCAAACTCAGAGAGAATCAGATAAGTGTCTTCTGTAGTAGAAGACTCATAATTGCTCAGTAACGCACTATATCGGGGTACTGCCGTCTCACTTTACGGCGTTTAGTTCTGTTCAAGTTTAAGTTTAATAATACTGGAGAATAAAGAATATTCTCCTTTATTAAACACAGCATTAATTAAGAAGTAAAATTTAAATGCGGTCCAAAACTAACCTAATTAAATTGCATACTAAAATTGACACCTAAAATTAAGAAGTTAATTGTTGGGCTGTGAAGGAAAAATTGAAATTGGGGTAGTGAAATGTGTTGAGCAGTTAGTGTCAAAATTCATTGTCCCCGTTACAAATTCTTTGGATACTACCACAGATAAAATTCCAAATTGATGATTTTCCGGATTGCAATTCTTTCGTGTGTGTCCAGCTGCCCATCTTTCGTACATTTTATTAAGAATTAAACATATTTTATTTGGCAATTGACTTTCGTAACTTGCAAGGTTTCCATTCAAGAGATCACCACAGCTAAGAGCGTTCTATATAAAAACAAAAATTCACTCTCAGCGGTTTCTCTTCCTCAGCGTTCTATTTAACTCTTTACATAGTCTACAGTAAACAGCAGAGTTAGATGCTGCATCGTTAGGTAGATCCTCACACTTCAGGTTCTCTATGAAGCAACAAAACAAAACCAAACAAAATAAAAGAGAAGCTTTAAGGGGCTCGAAAACCACTTTTCCAACTAGTTTTCACTGATGGGTTTGAATGTTGACTGATTGAATGGGTCCTATTCACTTTTTACTTATTTCACCAGGAACAGCTCTTTTCCAGAATTCTCCTATAGATCCAGATCTGTTACAACTGTTTCAGCAGGAGCTTAACTTTCTTAAAGTTTCTGTGGACACCATGTGTGTGGAAAATGAAGAAGACAAGACTAAGATCAAGAATGAGCTACGAACCATTGAAGCAAGTCTGGAGGAGATGAAAAAACGGGTGGAGAACTTGGAGTTTGATGTTGAAGTTGTTAAGGGCAGATTGGATGATTTCGAAGGTACGTTGTTTTTTTTTTCTTTTTTTTTTTTTGTCAGTACGTTGAAAATTTGTGGACAATTGCTTTGTTTAAAGTGTTTTGACAAAAATTAAATTTGTTGGTGTTATTCAGTTTATTTTAAAGATACGTTTACTTTATTTTGTTTCCTTTGGAGATTGTATCTCGCTTTATTTCGTAGGACCCGTGCTTGAGAGGCTTGAGAACAATCAGCAGAACACAGATAGTCGCGTTGACCTTGTTGAAGGTAGCATGACTGTTGTTAAAGGCGAACTGCTTCACCTGCAAGGTACTCATACGCGAAGGACCATGTAGGAATAAAATAATCTATTGACCCTTACAATACCTTAAAAGGGTTTTCAGTGATGAGACGGATCCAATGTAGTTATACATCTTTATTCGTATGCAAAGGGCTTCTTCAGGAAGAACTCCCTCCACCTCTATCACCAACATTTGGAGTAGTACAAAATATCTCTTTGCAAAGAGCTGGTTTGCTCAAAAACTAAGTTTCAAACTCCCTCTGCTGTCTGCTCGTCTTTCGGTTAGGTGATTATTTCAAGAAGGTAACTGTTGACCAGGCGAACTTAAAAGCAAGCGGCTCGCTTAAAATGAGACACTTGCTAGCTCGCGTCTGTGTAATTCACCTTCATCGCAATAGCGTTAATTTGTGTGGTAACGTTCATCTGAGCTCCCGACGAACTAAAAAATCCCCTAACCAGCGCCCCTTTTCTAAAGAATACCGCTTCCCTGGGAACAATCAAATGCCGTCAGGATATATTGTTTTCCTGAGGCCTGGACCGCATTTTGGTTGAATGCCATTTCGCGAGAAAATCATGCCAGATCCTGAATGTACTGTCTCACAGAAACTGTTTATATTCGAGAGTTTTTCGCAAGGAAGGTTCCACTTTGTTTACTTTGTTTCAATGGGAGCTCGGCAAGAGTTGCCTTGGCCCAGAAACAAGAACGGTTTGAACAACTAGCGATGCATTTTTAGCGCCTCTGTTTTGTCCACCAATCACAACTCCGTTACACGTATTACCTTTGTTCAGGCCAAAACAAAAGTGACGAATCGTGTGTGAACACTTTTGCTGGTCTTTATCGGTTACGTAACTTTCTGCAGTAAGATGGCTCCGTTATCGCCACAGCGGAGCTCTAAAAACTTTCAGAGAAAATTAACGACGGAAAGTTTGATACAGTATAGCAATAAATTTATAGCGCTGGTTAAGATAAAGATTTTCAATTGATTTTAAAGTATGTGGCTTTTTTTCAGGATAGTGATACAATTTTGCGTAATTTAAGGGAAGGTACGTTTTTTATTGGGGAAGGGGTGGGCCGGGGTATTTTAGAAATTTTTT